AAGTGAGAGAAAGGTCTCTGTGAGAACCAGAGGAAAGCATATTCGTCAAAAAGTGAAGCAGGGAGAGGCCAGGAGTCAATGAGTCATGCTTGAGACCATAATGGGAGCTCTGGTCCTAAGGGGCAATGTGTGATGGAGGAGAAAAGGCCAGAGGAGAGGGGCCATGCCTCACCCTTGTTCTGTTTGCCTCTGAAAGGGAGCCCTTCTGATCTGATGTCCAGTCCCCCATTTCACTTTGGTTTGGCGCAGGTTTCATTCTCAGGAGCCTCTGTGATTTGCCGTGGAGACCCTCTGCTTCCTCTGGTCACAGTTTCTGGGTCTCAGGAAGCTGCAGTAGGCCAGAATTGTCCCCACCCTCCCCCATTGAAAGACTTTTCCTGCTTGTTATCTGTTAAACTCATTTTGCCTGGGGTACTTCCAACCCTCTGGGACCTCTTTCCTTTTCTTGGCCCTCCCTACCCCTGTCTCTGAGATCCCCAGGAGTGTGTGTGTGTGTGTGTGTGCGCGCGCGCGCGCTCATGTTCTCTTAGTTATGCATGGGGAGTCAAGGACCTATGGCTCTGACTAGCTTGGGGTTCCCATGGCCAGCAAAAATAGACAAGGGACCAGTTTCTACCTCCAACCTCAATACCACAATTTTTTACCTCCAATTTATCTACCTCCAATTTAAACCACAATTAACCATTCTAATAGGAGCCTCAGGACAGGGAGAAAAGTAGGTAAGATGGAGAAAGGATATAATAATTACCACCCTTGCCTTCACTTCCTTTATTCTTCCCTAGTATCTTTCCCTCCCTTTTCAGAGATCAGTCCCTCATCCTCCTACTATTTACCTGCTCTCACTTCCAGAATCCTCGCACACAGTAGGCACCCGATAAACACTTTTTATACTGAGTCAAACTGAATCAGGCCGTGCTCTCCAGCTAAACTTAGATGAAGAAGCACAAAAGGGGAAGGTGGGCATTCCCCAGATCCTGGGCTAAATCCTGCAGGACTGACTGCTAAGGGATAAAGACCTCAGAGCAGTGCTTCTCAGACCTGAGCGTGCATCTGAGTCACCCGCAGGGCTGGTGACAACCCAGATTGCTGGCCTCTACTGCCAGAGTTTCTGATTCAGTCCGCCTGGGATGGGACTTGAGAATTTGTAGTCCTAACAGGCTCCCAGGTGATGCTGACCCCACTACTGATCCTGGACCACCAGTGGATCCTGAGAACCACTGCGTTTAGGGTGGTCGCCCCAGTGCTCACCATGGGGATCTGGTTAGTTTCCAACATTACATAGTTTAAGAGGAAGAAACAGGTGAGAATTGGAAACACGTGACTCCTGCTCAGCCCTCAACCCCAACATGTACAGGGATCGATCTAAGAAAGATAGTGCAAGGGCGAGAAGAAGTCTGTGTCGGACTGATTATCTCTTCTATGTCGTTTAAAATAGTCTATCGGCTCCATCCTTGTTGAAAGTCACTTCCCAAAAACATGTTTTGCAGCAGCAGCAAAGGAGCACTAGGAATTTCCTGTGGCGAGGCAGCACCAGCGTGGGGAGGGGAGAGGCAGTGCTGAGCGAGAGCCTTTCCTTGGCTCGGGCAGGGCCACGTGCCCCACCCCCTCGCTTGCACATGTCTCCGCCACCACCGCCGCAGCAGCCCGGCTGTTTATGAGCGAGTTGTTGTGGTAGAAATGGAGCAGGCTGCACATGCCCAGGCCATGTGACCCGGCAGCCCGCGTGAGCCTCGCCCGGCACAAACACCCTGGGCCCTGTCCTCCGCGGGCCAGAGAAACAGGAGAGAAGATGAGGAAGGAGCCAAAGGGCACTAGGCTCCCTTCTCCTTATCTCCGGGCTCTTTATCCTGCTTCTGCCTCTTTTTGTCTCTCCTGAGCCACTGGGGGAGCAAATACCCAGGAAAGAAACAAGGTTTCCCCAGGCATATTCTCCTCCCAGGCACCCCCTTTGGTGTTTATACAGCCCAGAGCCCTAGGCCCCAGGTGAACAAAGGGGCCTCCCCAAGCCGAGAGCGCAGAGTGGCCACGCTACCCTTGGAGTTGATGTGCCAGTGTCAGCCCGGAGCTCAGACTTGGTTTCTCTGCAGCCTGGGCTCCCCAAATCAGGCTGCCTGGTCCCCTCTTTCTAGGAAGGAGGATGCCACACAGAGATGCAGCAAGTGCCCATTCTAGGATTAGAACAAAGAGAGTTCAGGGCCTCGTGGGGTCAGGAACACAATCAGGGTTCTTTCGGCAGCAGTGGTCTGTGGGACAGGAAAGGGAAAGTCCCTTTGCCAATTGGAGATAGGGAGGAGCTGAGGGCGGGTTGGGGGGTGGGGGGATCTGGAAGAACTTCACACTAACCCCCGTCCAGCTGGAGAACAAACGCTAGTGTGAAAGAGAAGCTCAGTTCCCATCCTTTAGGGAAGTGTCCCCTCCCATCCACCTGGCCCTCCCAGCCTTCTCTTAGGACTAACCCCAAACCCCCACTTCTGCCCTCTGCTCCGGCCCCCTGCCCGTGACCCCATTTCTGAGCAGCAGCGCCTCTAGCTGGGATGTGAGACCGTGCTGGAGTCAGGCGGACAGTAGGTTACCAGGAACAAGCAAATGAAGCGAGCACGACCCACATTTCCTCATCGCACCAAAACTTCGCAGATCCTGCATTGCAGAGCTAGCGTTTTTGTTTTTTTTTTAATCTCTGCTGGGCCCCTACACACGTCTGCATTTTTGCAACCAGCACAGATTTTTTTTTTCAGGGTGCAAACTGCGCATTCTAATGAGCCAAAGCTCCTTCCTGTGGCATTGAAAATCTCTTTGGCAAATTGCTTCTCCCCCCTTCACCCCACCCAATTTAGAAGAAGGGGAGGGATCCCAAATTCGCAAAGTCGCATCCTCTCCTTCTCCTGCACCCCTCCCCCAAGATACTGCAGTCTTTCCGGCCCAACTCACAGCTGCAGACCAGGGGAGAGAGGGAAAGCATGGGAGGAGGGAAAATGAGCTTTCCTTCTTTCCATGCAGGCTGAGCTGGAGGGGCGGGGGTTGCTTTTTTCCTGGGCAGCCCATCACACCCCCCCCTTTCCCTCCCCATCCCAGCCAGTGTTTATATAAGCCTCCCAGAAGCTACACATGGCCCCTAACGTCTGCCCAGGCCATCGCTCCTCCGAGGTCCATCCGGCTCACGAGGACTGTCATGAGCCTCTGGCCTTCCTGGGCAGCTACATGGAGATCTGCAGTGGCCCAAGGAATGGGGAGACATTGGCTAAAGAGAGAGTTTGAGCTAAAGCTTGTGGTAAGAGGTGGAAACGGAGGCAGGAACACAGGAAATTCCCCCCCCCCCCCACTCTCCCCCACCCTCCGCCCGGCCACACACACTTCCCTGCGTCTTCATCCTACAGAGGCTCAAGGACAGACAGCAGGCCTTTGCAGGACCTGGACCTAGAAGAGAAAAGCACTAGTAGGCTCCAGCAACAACATGGCAAAAGTTGGACAGTTGGCCTTGGCATGGCATGTGCTGGATGCCACCACCCCTTAACCCAGGGGGAGGACCCCCATGCCAGAAAGAGGGTGCTCTGAGACCTAGTCTTCCCCTGCCAAGGACAGCCCATGCACCTCCTGGATCTTGTGATGTGAATGGAATCCTGGTCTCTGAAAGGAGAACCCTGCTTCCGGTTCCCCAAAGTATCTACTACAGAAGCATTGGCCTAGGATGGTAGATGGCTTTCGAAGGGCTGTACTTAGAAGTGCACATTACCCAAGCAGATAAATGGAGAAGTGGGATGTTGTTTCCTAAGTGCTTTGTACACAACTTCTTTAGAGGCTTTCCTCACTCTCATTGAACTAATCCATTCTTTTTCATTAAAAAGAATTTTTAATGTTTTTATTTATTTCTGAGAGAGAGACAGCGTGAGTAGGGGCGGGTCAGAGAGAGAGAGAGAGAGAGAGACAGAATCTGAAGCAGGCTCCAGGCTCTGAGCTAGCTGTCAGCACAGAGCTCCATGTGGGGCTTGAACCCATGAACCGTGAGATCATGACCTGAGCCGAAGTCGGACGCTTAACCGACTGAGCCACCCAGGCGCCCTATTCTTTTTCACTTTTCTAATTAAAAATTTTTATTTTATTACTATTTTTTCCAACACAGTTATTCAACATTTATATACATTACAAAGTGCTCACCGCAATATGCATAGATACCATCTGTCATCATACGAAGTTATATGAACCAACCCACTCCTAATGCATCCCCTGAAGGAAGCACCATGGTGCTTTAAAGGGCCCTGGCCTCCCTCCCCCCTCCCCTTGTCACCAGCCGTGGATCCCAAAGTCCGAGGTCGAGAAGAGGGCTCAGCTGCCTGCTTCAGTGACTCGCCTCCATAGCAGTCTATGTGGAAATGTGTTTGCTATCTGTTGTTGTACCCTATCCTGGCCCCTGTCTACCTTTACAGCCACATAAGGAGAATGTGGGAGGGAGAGAGGGGAGAGTATAAGGGAAAAGGAAATGTGGCTCTGGGAAAGTGAGGTACTTATGGGGACAAGGGCAGGGCAGCTTCAGGTGTCTCTTATGGTTGACACCCCACACTTCCAAGTAGCATTATTGCTTAGGAAACACTAGGATGCGCTTGCTGCTCAGATGTGTCTGTGTTTCAGTCGAAGTGATCATTCTCTCCAGGAAGGGCAGTCTTGCTAGTGGGAACAGTTGTATCCTCAGACCTGGGGTCAGATTTCCAACACTCCTGTCTTCATTGTGACATTGACAGTGGTAGTTGCAAGAGAGTGCTGGGGGAGCTTTAGCCTCTCCAAAAATCTCCATTTTTTGTTGTGACATCTTCTTTTATTTTTATTTATTTTTTTTATTTTAGAGAGAGAGTGCATGAATGTGCATGCGTGCACACACGATTGGGAGAGGGACAGAGGGAGAGAGAGAGAGAGAGAGAGAGAGACAGAATCCCAAGCAGGCTCCATGCTCAGTGTGGAGCCTGACGCAAGGCTCGACCCACAACCCCAGGATCATAACCTGAGCCAAAATCAAGAGTCAGATGCTCAAATGACTGAGCCAAACAGGTGCCCCCTGAAGTGACATCTTCTCAATCTGCTGTGTTTCACTCTAAATACAGCTTTAAGACAAATCAGCTAGCATCTGCCTCTTCCCAGGTCAAGCTAACAAATGTCTCAAAGCTTCAGGTTCCCTATCTCTAAGATAAGAATGAGACCTGCAATACTGTGTCAATATGTATATAAAATGAGATAATATATATAAAGCACTTAGCACAGTGCCTGGCATACAGTTGATGCTTAATACATGCTTATTATTTCCTCTCCTTGGAGAAAGGAGTAGTGAGGTAAGGATAGAATCTGAGGCAAAACACATCCATGGAACCCAGCCCTGGACCATGCTTCACCCTCTCTTTCTCCAGTTCCCCCAAAGAACAAATCAGCTGAGACTTAGAGCCTCCTGTGCCATGTTCTTGAAATTCTCCCCAAGATATCAGTGCTTTGGGTGGGTGAAGAAAAGCCAGCTGGCCCTTTGGAGAATAGGAAAAGATTCTAGGAGGGCAAGGCATGAGTCTCTCCCAGGTACATGGCTACTTCCCTGATTCTGGGGCATCCCCAGGGTTTCTGACCCAGGTTTGCATCACCTAGGCAGGGAAGTTACTTCCCTGGGCAATGGTTTGCTTGGTGAGAAAGGAGGGGGAAGGGAAGGCACCTACAGAAGTCTGACCTGGTTTCCAGCAAGGACCCACCCTCAGTCAGTCAGTCAAGCAGTCAGCCTAAGATTTAGGCCACACAGGATTAGTACAGGCATTGCCCTGTTACCCAGAACAAGACACTGGGCAACGAGCACAGATCCTGGATCAAACACACACATCTATGCACACTCACACCATTCACACTTACACACTCACACGTACAGTTTCTCACTCACGTGCATACTCTGATTAGACTTTAGAGCTCTTGATCCCTTTTCCTTCCTCTGCTTTCTCTGTGCTGTCTACTCTCCACCGCCCCTAGTCCAAAGAAATCCAGGAGAATTAAAGACATATTTGGGAACACATACACTCACACACAAGATCCAGTCCTGCCCCCAAATGGTGAGGTCAGTCCCCAGAATCCCAGACTCTGAGAAATCTGAGTAGAAGTGTGTGCAACATGGAGCCAGGCTGTGCCTTGCTGTGCCGGGTCTTCAATATGCATCCATTCCACACAGTTCTAGTCTAAGCACTGTTTATTAAGAGTCCAGTTCCTTCTTGGACTGAATTTGGCTATAGGCAGAACAGTATATGTATGTGGCTATCTGTGTGTGTGTGTGTGTGTGTGTGTGTGTGTGTAGAAGTGAGCTGGAATGTCCGGCTGGCAAGAGGGGAGGCTGTGTTGAAATGCACCTGTTATCTTAAGGTCAAGGTTGAGGTCAAAGAGAGGCCAAAGCTAGATTCTAGTCTGGGTCTCCAAAGGCCAGACAACTCAGCTTTTTCTCCCTCCCTTTGGTGCCTCTAGGTCCCATAGGTTTCTGTCTTTCTCCCAGTAGCTGCTGACAGAAAGAGAAGAACAGGGGGGATAGGCTAGAAGCTTCTGGAACCACGGAAGAGTCTTGCCTCTTGATTCTTCTATATCCTTCCCTCCGATTGTAGAAGAAATATCCCAAAGTGACCTCTTTGTCAGGGAAGAGAAAGGGGGCCCTATAAGAAGTGCTGCAGAGGAAGGAGGGAGCAGAGGTAACCCCCCCCTCCTTTGCCTCCTCCCTCCCAGCCTCCTCCCTCCCAGCCTCCTCCTTCATACCTCACTTAGACTGCAAAACAACCCAGCTCCTTGCCAAGAGTTAGGCTGACTGAATTTCAGCTCTCTCTGCCTCTGCTTCCTCTTCCCTCTCACTGGCTGCAACGTCAGGGAGAGAGTCTTGACCCCTGGCCCTTTCCCTATAGGGGAAAAGACCAACAAGTAGAACAGGGGGTGGATGGGATCACAAGCAAAGAACAGAGCTGTGGGCCTCAGGGAGGGCCCAGGACAACTGGGAATATGCTGGTGTTGGTGCTGGGGCTGCTGGGGCACTAGAGGTCACGCCCAGAGCCCTGATTTTGAATCCAGCCCTGGCAGATACTTGAGCCCTGGCCCTGGTTCTGATGAAGAGTCAGGAAGGGCTCAGAGAGAATTCAGTCCTGGACTAGGCGGCTTACCTCCGAGAGCTTTCCCTCCAAAGCCCAACAGGAACGGGGGAGGGGAGAAGGCTGGGTTCACAACCAAGTTTTCCTGAAAAGCCTCTTTCCCCGTTTGTTCTAGCCCCTCCCAGTCTCTCCCACGCTGTGCTGCAGATTCCCAGCTCTGGGCCAGAAGGCCAGGGCAGGCCAGGGAAGCGCCCACTGTCTTTTCTCTCCCACGTTTCTGAGCAGGGGAATAAAACAAAAGCCCAGACCATTCTAAGGAGCCCCTTTTAGGGAGCGCATCTTCCAGGAGTCAAAGGGTCAGTGATCGGGCCAGCTACTCAGTCACCTCTCAGTCAACCTCACGGCCCTCTCAGTTCCTCTCAGTTCGCTCATTTCCTCACTACCCAGCTTCCTCCTTCCTTGGCACCCACACTCCTCCTTTTCTCTACCTCTTTGCTGACTGTCATGTTTCCAGGCGCCCATCAGTGCTGCTCCGGGAGCTGTCTGTGAACAAGTGGGGAAGAGCTTCCTGTACAGGGAAAACCCTCCCTCTGAAGGACTGGGACAGAGGAGGAATTAGCAGGAAGCAGCAGGTGGCTCAGGCTCACTGGGCTGCTTGGAGAAGGGGCCCCCATTTCTCCCCACAGTCCAAGTCCTCAAGCGGGAGAGACCTGTTTTCACCAGTGGGGCAACTGCTGCTTTGAAGGGGCCATTTCTAACCCCTGTTCAGTGTTTTCCTGTGTGTCTGCCCATCTCCCTGATGTTTGGGAGGGCAGAGGGAACCAGGAATGAATGTCTTACTTTGGGTCACCTACTTCTTCTAAGGTTCATTTTCCTCTTACTAAGGAAAGGATACTGAGGAAGGGGTGTGGTGGTGAAGATAATCTTCGTATTCCCTCCTGAGTTCCCTTCTGTGGGATCTACATGCTGCACTCAAGCACTGGTGGTGGTGGTGGGGAAGTCACTCTGCCCCCAGACCCCTGCCTCACCTCAGCCCCATTACTTTAAGATCTCAAAGCACTTTCACCATAAAGTTCCCTTCCCTGGTCCTTTTTATTTCCCAGACAAAAGGAAATGACTCACCCCAAAGTCACCTCGAATGAGTGAGATGGTGTCATACAAGCAGACAGGGAGTCCCTAGAGACAGCCTCACCCGCATGGCAACTCCTCCTCCCTTAGGGGTGTTCTCCCTAAGGAGAGTAAAAGGAAAAAGGGGTCACATTTCCATTGGGTCCCTGGACTTGGCCCTGCAGGAGAAATTCATCTTAAGCTCTTGACTTTGGGGATATCTCCCTCCCCTACCGGTCATATCTCCCTGTGTCACAAGTAACCTCAGGGCGAGGTCAGTCCGGCAATCACGTGAAGCCCTCACGTTTGCAAGGTTTGCAGAAAGAGCCTGTTAACTTTGATCTCCCTGGGAGCAGCCAAGCTTGCCAGTCCCTCCCCAGGAATTCACATGCTTCTGCCATACAGGCTCTCCAAACACGCTACCCAGACTCTTCAGTGCACCCCACCCGACCCGGCCCTTAGCTCCTCCCCGATCCCAGCAACCGCTTTTGTAAAGCAGAAAGGGGGAAATGTACGCAGTCCGCCCACTTTGCCAGTGGACTACAAATCCCGACAGGCTCGGCGTTACGCAGGCGCACGGAGCTCAACGTGCCTGCTGCTGGAAAAGTGTGTCACTGGGGCACGAGGCGCTCCCTGGGATCACATGGTACCTGCTCCAGTGCCGCGTGCGGCCCGGGAACCCTGGGTTGCTGGCGCCTGCGCAGAGCCCTCTGTCCCAGGGAAAAAGGCTGGGGCAAAAGGCGGCTGAGATTGGCAGAGTGAAATATTGCTGCCGAGGGAACGTAGCAGGGCACACGTCTCGCTTCTTTGCGCCTGGGTGCCCCGTTTCTCCCCATCATCTACTTACTTCCTGACTGCAACCTCTCTCCCTCTGGGACTTTTGCACCGGGAGCTCCAGATTCGCTACCCTGCAGCGCTGGGGAGCCGTCAGGCAGTGGCACCCGGTGCGCTGCAGAGACCCGATCCTCCTTGCTACCTTCCAGCTAGAAGAACTACAGCAGGGTGATTCCCCCTCCCCCACACTCTGCTCTTCCCATGCAGAGCAGACCTCCGTTGCCTTTGCGTCCTACCCTTCTGCAGGGCTGCAGTCAGGCCACCCCAAGACCTTGCTGCAGGGTGCCTCGGATCTTGCTTGTGATCTGTGGGGTCCACTCCCCGCCCTCAGTGTCCACGGGGCGAAAGCAGCAGTTGCAACCTTCAGTCTGTGTCAAGGTCCAGTTTGAATGACCGCTCTCAGCCGGTGAAGACATGACGACCCTGGACTCCAACAATAACACAGGTACTGAGATTCCTTTACTGTCTTCATCCTTTGGCACTGTCTCTTTACTTCCATATATGCCTTAGAACAAGAGGAACTTTTTAAGGGGCTGGGGACGCTCTCGGTCTGGGGATTTGCTAGCATAATGGGGACCATAGGCTGGGATTTCTAGAGCGAGTTATTCGTTCTGGGAATGTGCCCGGAGGCTCCCCACCGCCACCTCTCAGAGTCCCAAAGCTCCTTTCAGCCTGATGGACTCGGATCCCGGGCAGGAGGAGATGGAGATCGGGTATGTGTGGTAAGACGCACAGTTTAGAGGGACTGAGAGCTTTGGAGCAGTGCCCCAAACGCCCCTGTTTCCCCCTCCCTCCCCCCCCAGCTGTGGCTTGCCTGACCTTCTCGGAAAGAGGACCCCCTCCTTCCTCTCTTCCTCTTCCCCTAGTTCCTGCAAGCTCAAGGGAACCTGAAAAGCAGTGGGGCGACAGGGGCTCCAGGCAGGAGGGGCTGGGGGAATGGGTCGCATCTCACTGGGGAATCCTCAGTGACAGTAGGGAGCGGCACTTGAGGAGCCAGCCGAGTGGTGCTCGGCCCCAGGGAGGACACCCACAGCGCCCGGGAGGCCCTGAGGGCTCACATGGCTGCGGAGCCGGGCCCACGTGCTGCGTTTGTTTTCATTCAGCAGAAGCCATGGCCGCCACCCCATTGGTTGTTGCCTCCCGGCCCCGTTACATAATGAGCTCCGCCCCCCCCGGTCGCCTCGGCAACGCGTGTTCCCTTCTCTCCTCCCCTCAGTTGCCCCGGCCGGGCTGGCGTTTGGGGCCCAGCCCTGGACCCGGAGGCCCAGGAGGGGCGGGGCGGGGGTGGGGCTGGTGCTCCCGATTGACGGGAAGCGGAGGGCGGGTCCTCGAGTTCCGGGGTTCCTCGTTGGGGAGCCACGTGCAGGAGGCACACGTGGAGTGAGGACGTGAGGCCGGCTGAGGGCCCGGCTCCCGCCCCGCCCCGCCCCGCCAAGATCTGGGTGAAGCTGGGCTGACTCACCGCCCCCGCCTGCCTCTTTTTCCTGTCCGCCTGCCTGGGGCGGGAGGGAGGGGGGACCTTCTCCCCTTTACTGAAGCAGAGTAAGATGGAGCTATCCCTGACCTCTCAGGGCCTCGTGTTTACACTCCTCAGTGGTACCTCACATTTAGCCACGCTTCTCCTCCTGCCTTTGCTCTTTATTCTGTTTGCATCTACTTCATTTTACTGTCTTTAGACTCAGTTTTGCCACATTCCAAATTCTTCCCGTTCCTGGAGCATCTCTTACTCCTGCAAACACTGTCTTAACTCCCCACCAAGCAAGTAGCAGTTTGTCAGCAAGGACGTCCCCAGAACAGCTACATCCCAGAATCATAACTGAAAGTCTTCTTTGTGTGTGTCACAGAAAAGAAAACTGAGACCCAGAGAGGGGAGGTAACTTCCTCCAGGTCACAAATCAACTTGGTTCTGATAGATCTAGATCTAGAACTAGGCTCTTTTGAGCATGCCCCTCACTTCCAGGTTAGAGTCATGTTTGTATGAAAGTCTTACTCCCTTTTTGGGGATGGGTGAACTAGGTCAAGTTCATTTGCCACCAAATAACATGCCATCCCCCCCACCTCTGCCCTGAAACTGTAGGAGCTGACCTGTTGTGCAACTATTTTATTGGGAGCTGGGTTCACCCTGACCAACCTTGAGCTATTTTAGGGTTGCCCTGCCCAGTCAGTGTGTGTCAGTGGGTGAGCAAGACATGTGCCTCTGGATACACGGTGACATGGCTTGTGTCGGCTCACACGTGTCCTAGGATCCTCCCTTTCCCACCCCACCCGTGGCAGGCCAAGCTAGGTACTTGGCAAAGGTGTGGCAGGCAGGTCACCTTTTCTTCTGCTAATACCACGGGAACACAACCACCTGGTTGACAGTGTAACCAGAGGGCCTAAGTCCCCGAATGGCCAGAGAGCCAAGGTCGTTGTCACCTGGCTGAGAGATCTGGAAGGGAAATTCCTAAGCCCTAGGCTGGACAATTTGTTTTTCATGTCCACCACCTGCAACGGGCATTGCTCAGCTTTTCCCGGACGCGGAGTGACACTTGCTCTTGGAGGCCAGGGGCACCAGCCTGGGCAGGTTCAGTACCTTCAGTACCTTTGGAGAAATGGCTTCCAGTTGGGGGGGAATGTGACTGCCTTACTCTTGTAAGACCTTCCTCTCCTCAGTGTTGGCTAGCCTGCCCCACATAGTCTTATCCCTGGAATGGTCTTGGTGTTAAAATAGGCAGCTGTTTTTTGGGGGGTGAAACTGGGCATTCTGAATGGGTCTCAGCTGCTCATTGCATCCTCAGGTCTGCTACTAACGATTAAGTCATTAGCTAGCTGCAGTCTGTATTCTCAAGGAAGGCTTCCAGGGCAGGGGGGTACATGTATGAGATGCCTGGAGAGGTCACGCCTCTAGGGAGGCACCTCACACCCAAGGCAGAAGCTGAGGGTCCTGGGGTGTCGGTTGGCCATGTGGTATCTGGTTTGTGTTGGGGAGTTGCTTACTGTGGCTCTTCCTGGGACTGCCAAGATTAAGGGTTCCGCGGTTACCTTCTGAGCACGCAGCAGTGGGAGGTAGATGCGGGATGAGCAGGGGTGGTGCCCTGGGACCAAAGATACGTGGCAAAGATACGTGGCGCTGACACCCCCTTCCCTTGTGTTCTCCTGCCAGGTGGTGTCATCACCTACATTGGCTCCAGCGGCTCCTCCCCAAGCCGCACCAGCCCCGAGTCTCTCTACAGTGACAGCTCGAATGGCAGCTTCCAGTCTCTGACTCAAGGCTGCCCTGCCTACTTCCCGCCGTCACCCACCGGCTCCCTCACTCAGGACCCAACTCGCTCCTTTGGGAGCATTCCACCCAGCTTGAGTGACGATGGCTCCCCTTCTTCATCTTCTTCATCATCGTCATCCTCCTCCTTCTATAATGGGAGCCCCCCAGGGGGTCTACAAGTGGCCCTGGAAGATAGCAGCCGAGTGTCCCCCAGCAAGAGCACCAGCAACATCACCAGTGCGTACATTTCCAGCTGATTTGGGGGAAGGCGCCCAGGCCTAGGTTGGGACTTTGTGTTCGCACGACACGGTTATTCCCAGGGCCTACCCTGGCCTTCAGGGGTTTCTCCTAGAGTTGCACCAACCGCTATCCAGCCCAGTCTGGATTCTGGAGGAGCTCCTCAGCTTTCCCCCTAGAATCTCCGGCCCAGAAAACCTCCACATCTCTGGCCAGACGGCCCTCCTGCTCACCCGCTGCCCCTCTCTTCCCACAGAGTTGAATGGCATGGTGCTGCTGTGTAAAGTGTGTGGGGACGTTGCCTCGGGCTTCCACTATGGCGTGCATGCCTGTGAGGGCTGCAAGGTGAGGCAGGTTGGGGGTAAGGGCAGAGACGTATGACCTCATCTCCCCGGACGCATAGGCCTGACCTGGATGGAGATGTTCACCAGATGCCCCTGTCCTTCCAGGGCTTTTTCCGTCGGAGCATCCAGCAGAACATCCAGTACAAAAGGTGTCTGAAAAATGAAAACTGCTCCATTGTCCGCATCAATCGCAACCGCTGCCAGCAGTGTCGCTTCAAGAAGTGTCTCTCCGTGGGCATGTCTCGAGATGGTAAGGCAGCACTGTTGCCCCGCAGAGCGTTCCCACGACGTCCCCCCCCCCTCATTTCCTTCCACCCAGAGTTTGAGTTAATCCCTCCCTTAAAAAAGTCCCAGTGGAGACACGTCAGATGTCAGATTGTGGGTCTCCTTTGCGTAGGGATGCCCGTCTTGCATCTTCTTGGATAAACATACTTCTTTACTCTTCGTTCCTTGGGTCACCTCCTACGGCAGTCCCTACTTGGAAAACCTCCTTGAGGGGCGTGGCCTTGGTTTTAGTTTTGATGTGGAATCCCAAGCCTTCAGGGCCTTGCCCTTTCAAGAGGAAGGAAGGAAGAGAAGCGTGTGAGTGTGTAGGAGAACTTCCTGACGCTGCTCTCATCCTGTCACAGCTGTGCGTTTTGGGCGCATCCCCAAGCGAGAGAAGCAGCGGATGCTTGCCGAGATGCAGAGCGCCATGAACCTGGCCAACAACCAGTTGAGCAGCCAGTGCCAGTTGGAGACCTCGCCCACCCAGCATCCGACTCCCGGCCCCATGGGCCCCTCACCACCTCCCGCTCCGGCCCCTTCACCCCTGGTGGGCTTCTCCCAGTTCCCACAACAGCTGACGCCTCCCCGATCCCCAAGTCCTGAGCCCACAATGGAGGATGTGATCTCCCAGGTGGCCCGGGCCCACCGAGAAATCTTCACCTATGCCCATGACAAGCTGGGCACCTCACCTGGCAACTTCAATGCCAACCGTGCATCTGGCAGCTCTCCAGCCACCACTCCACATTGCTGGGAAAGCCAGGGCTGCCCGCCTGTCCCCAATGACAACAACGTTATGGCTGCCCAGCGTCATAATGAGGCCCTGAATGGTTTACGCCAGGCTTCCTCCTACCCTCCCGCCTGGCCCCCTGGCCCTACCCACCACAGCTGCCAGCAGCCCAACAGCAACGGGCACCGTCTGTGCCCCACCCATGTGTACCCAGCCCCAGAAGGCGAAGCACCTGCCAACAGTCCACGGCAGGGCAACTCCAAGAATGTTCTGCTGGTGAGGGCACTGGGGGTGAGGTGGGCAGGGGGCCTGGGAGACTCGATTTAGCATAGGGCAGCTGGGTGTGCCCGGAGGCTAATGTGGGGATGTCCTCTTCCTGGGGGAGGACGCTCAGCCCTGCAGTAAGGGCACTGCCTGCAAATCCCTGATCTCCACCTGGCACCTGATTCTCCTTTACCTAGAAGACCCATTCTCCAGGGCCACAGCCCCTAGCCTGGGCAGAAG